CAAATGAATGAAAACTTACTTGCAGTCAGTGGCGTATATAACACCTTCGCACCCCCACTGCACGGAGGGAGGTGCAAAGTCCAAGGGAGCGCAGTGCGCACAGGTGCGTTTAGACAATATTGTCAAACGAACTCTACAAAAAAGCCCCCTAGCTTACGTTCGGGAAGTATAAAATTATACCTACCTGTCTTTCCACTTGAAACAAGAGTCGATATTTATTTTTGTTAAAATTTTATGTAAGTATATGGTTATCCTTTGCATCAGTGTACGTTTTAAAACCATTTAATTTAGTATGCTACAAGTGTGTTGGTTTGTGTTAGTTTGTCGTGATTTGCACAACATTAAATTATTTGTTGATTTAAAACATTATTCAAAAAAACTATATTAGTTCTAGAAAAACATCGTTGTACTAATCTACAGTCGTATTTGTTACTTCCCGAGCGTAAGCTAAGTACATCGGGCTCCTTTTATGTTTTCTCGACGTTTTATGGCCCTTGGCATTAGCAAAAATAGATCCCTTGTTTCCGTCTATCTGTCTGTCGTCTGTCGTCTGCCGTCTATCGCTTGCCTTCTATCCTCCTCTGTCTCGATTTTTATCAGACAGATAATCTTTTAAACTACTGTACCGATTGTTGTCAAATTTTGTATGTATATTGGCAATATCGTGCAGATGGTAAAATTTGCCTGATCATCTCCACCAACGTACGATGCCATATCCAATTTTTATAATAGTAAATATTATTTAAACTTTATAAAAGAACATACTATTCCACTTGTAGTTTATGAATTCGAGTTTTTACCTTAGACCTTTTAGACATCTAGATTTTTGTAAAATAATGAAAATTGTAGAACAACATTATTTTGCAATTTAACTTTGAAATTTTAAAAGCAAATGTTCTGAAATCTTGCAAACGTTCTAAGGTTATCGGAAACACGGTAAATCCTTAATCAAAATTTATCCATTTACTTCCGCTCTAAGAACTGATGACGTATCTTGCAATTTTGCTGAATAAATGTTATTTAAATTTTATAAATTAACATCCTCCTGCATGTGTGATTTATGAATCCATCTTGAGTTACTACCCTATACATGCAGATTTTTGGAAAAAAAAATCAAAATCGAATAACAACACATTTTGCAATTTAACTTTGGAACTGCAAAACCGAATGCTCTGAAATCTCTCAAACTGATACGCGTCCTTGTTAAAAAAAATATATCGAAATGCTCATTAGAAACATATGCAGATGATGTCTCAAAGTTAAATTTGATAATAATTTTTCGAAGCTGTATTGTTTCGCTGTACTTTGGAGGCGAGGAATATTCTGTCAAACTAACTCTTGCACCAACTGTTTTTGTTTAGATTAGTTTCATTTCCTGTGTACTAAATTACCGCGAAAACGAAAACAAAATTGAGTTAGTTATTTAGGAAGAAAACCACTTGTCTTGTTTCTGATGTTCATTTATAGTGTCATATGTTTCGGATATCTAGCATCCATCATCAGGCGCAATTGTCAAAATATAACCATGGAAAATTAATTTGTTACACATACGAAAACTTTACATAAAAGCACACGTGCTATTTCTGGTAGAATGAAATATAAAATTTAAAATTAATATTAGCGTTAATTTGTCTCTTTTTCTCCACGTGGATTTTTTTCTCTGGAAAGGAGCACTTGCGTATTGTTTGACGTTTGGCATCATCAATTTTTTGAAGAAAATAAGCAGATATATTTTGATTACAAATTTACCATGCTTACGATAACTTCAAAAAGTCTGCAAGATTTCAACGCATTCGTCTTTGCAGTTCTTGATTTTTATCAATAAAATAAACCGACTCGTTCATTAATTTTTTAAATCATACTGTACAAGCAATCCTAAAAAATATGTAAATACGGAATGATAAATCACAAGTACAGGCATATCATATGTACCTACTTCGCAGATTTTAATTATTTATTTGGCAAAGTTTTAAGATAACGTCAACAGTTTTCAACGGGGTCGAAAACGGATAAACTTTGTTTAGTGATTTACCACACACTAAAAAATAAATGGTTCCACGAATTATAATATCGGCAATTCCTACAATATTTTGTGGTCATATATAGGACAATGATTATTTTAGTTACAAACATCATGAATTTATTGTTAATTTTTATGGTTACAAGAACTTTAAAATATTGTAAATCTGTTAACCACAAAACTGTGGTTATAAAAGCCAAAAATGTTGTACTTGCTGGAACCATATTCTACGGTCTTATTAAACAAAATTTGATAATTGTCGTAACAAAAAATTATGTATTTCAACTGTAATAAATGATATCATGAACGATATTTTATGGTTGTTACTGCCGCACCATTAATTAATTAATTAATTAATTAATTGATTAGCACTTTTGGAAGGAATTAAACAAAAACTCGTATTTTATTGAAAGCATAGGTATATTGAATATAAAATGAAAATATAAACATAAACATATAAAGAAAATTAAACAATACTTCTTAACATTATAGAAACATAGTTATATATTAGCCTATTACATAATATATATATGGTGAATATATGTACTTCAGTTGTTATGTCTGTTTAGACAGAACTATTTATATTAATTAAACTATTTCCATCGTATGACATATGGTATAAACAATTGACGTGTAACTTATCAATCTCCTGAAGTTCCTCTGTTTTAATGTCATTTTGCAACTTAACATAATATGCATGTAAATGCTGATCATAACCTAAAGTTTCAAATAACTGGAACGTTATCTTTATTATATCAACTTCAGTTTCAGCAATAGAACATACGCTGCCAAAAACTGGATGTGATTCTGTGAGATACACTATTAAAATAGTCCCGTGTTTTATTAGTTTGTCATAAACTTTTATCCATTTATAAATAAATCCTTTTTGTTTGTTATATTCTGTAATTGTAGATTTTTCAATAAATCGGGAAAATCCATTCTTAGATATCAATTTGTTACATAGTTTTAGTTGGTGTCGGATTGCAATTGTTAAGCAAATATTTTTTTTTGAGTAAGAAATATTAGATATATTTTTTAGAGTTCTATGCTTTGATTCGAATCTCATTGACCAAAGATTTATTAAGGGACCAGACATTCGCATAATTAAAGGATAGTGAATCATGTTGTGATGCTTTGGTTTTAAACTGTACCCTAATGAACATAAGATTTGGTGATGTTCTGAAATAAGGTTGTTTAATAAAAGTGTAGAGTCCATATCAAATTTTGAAGATAAAACAATATCTAAAATACTCCGAAGAGATAAATATAATCGCCAATAAATATTATTAGAAGAGACCAAATGACCAACCATGATTCCAAAGAGAGTCACGAAATATAAGGTTTCCGAAGCTGATAATCTTATATTGCCATTCTTTAAATGCTCCTCCTTAATAATAGGTAAATTGCAACGAGCTTTATGATTAAATGCCAAAATCATTTGATTTAAGGCTTCAAGAGAAAATAATTTTGCTTCATATATATAATTTTTCAAAATTATCTCTAGGTCATATTTACAAACCCCTTCTAGGAGATCATGCATTATATCTACTGAAAAATTCCTAATTACGTGAAAATTTCGTAACTGATTCCAAACGGATGGACTTTTAATGCCAGATGAGCTACTGTCGCAACTGGATGTATCAGCGGAATAATTTTCAATATTACGAAATAAGCTCGAATCTTCGGTCAGCTGAGATTTCATCTTAGCTCTATCTACTTTACAGATTCGACAACAACGATTAGCTGTAAAACTTTCAACGAAACCTAATATTGAATTTAATCCAAGGTTGTCGCCAATTATTAATCCCAAAGAAAAATATAAATGGTAATTGATACCGTCTACATTAATTGCAATTCCTACGCTTTCTAAATATTTCAATTCATCTATCACAACCTGAAATATGTTATTTCCTATATCTTTACGAGCACTAGATCGAAACAACTGAACAAAAAATATGTTTTCCAAAAGAGACTGAAATTGTTTTGGAAAGCATGGCACCGAGATGTAAACTACACCTAATTTGTTCACACCCGAATGTGATCCTAAAACATTTCCTGATTCAAAATCGTCAAAATATAAAAATAAGGGAATAACTAATTTCCCAGAGAATGATTTACGGATGTCTTGCCATAAATTACACTGAACAAAATTCTCAAAGAGACTCGTAGAATCCAGAGATTTTATATAATCTAAAGTTGCACTTAAAACATTAGGAAGTTCAAACACGCGTTTTAAAACCTTCCGTAAAGGAATGAAAACAGTTGTCTCCTTAATGCTAACATGTTTGGGACACACATTTTCTGAGTAAGTTTGTAGTGATTCAGAAAGAACAATTTCTACAGGTTTAATATATAAGTCGTGTTTTTCTAAATATTTAAATATCATATGTTCTGATCTGAACAACTTAAATTTACTTTGAACATACGAAAAAATTGAAGAAATGTATTCTAATTCATTATTTTTGATATTGCATGGATCAAAAGTTGCTTTTAAAATATGTTCTATCTCTGAAAGTAAATCTCTAACACTAGAGATTATATTTTGCACTTCTGAACGGGGCACTGAGTTACTTTTATATAAGTGAGAAATAAAAAGCGCAATACTACTCTCAATTTGATTTTCCTTATTTGCAATTATGTCATTATATAATCTGTTACTAAAAGGTTCACAATAATCAGAAACTGTTTTTGAAACAACACTATTGGGAGCTGTATGGAATAAAGGTAGTGTAAAATTTGTATCTTGACTATTACACTGACTTGTAACGTTGTTAGACAACCACTGAGTATTCAGAAAGGTTTTTCTGTGAAAATTCGAAAGATGTTTGTAAAAAGAGTTGTATGAACTAAATTCTCTTTGACACGAATACGAAATGCAGCGAATATATTTACCATCATAGGAATGTCTATATTTCATATGCAATAATAAATTTTTTTTTGAACTTGAAAACTTGTGACAACAATTCATTATTTTTAAATATTACTTCTCACTCTCAGATTCATTACACAAATCAGAAATCAGAGCAGAAACAATTGACGACTTTTTGTCCCACTCTGTCTTTAAATCATAGATGTAAATTTGTATTAACTGCCAAACATGAGAACATTCAGGAGGATATTCTGCAACAATTGCATGAATTATTTTAAAACAAGTGTTTACACTTTTCAAGGCCGATTCAAAAGGATATGTACAGTTATCGATGGAAATATAGCCCTTCAGGTTGTTGAAATCTGGTCCAACAATTGTTATTAGAGGTTGGCATAATTGTTTGGTTTCCGCATATTTTCGATGTCTTCGTTCCAACATCAATTGCATCTCTTCACTGGTTTTCACGTAAGTAATGAAACTGTTCGCTACTTCAACTTTAGACGGTTTCCATTTCTTTTTATTTGTCGTAACAATCACTACTGGCATTAGATACGGTAGTGTTAATAAACTTAGAACAGCAGTGGCGTCTAAACAGAAAATTATTATTAACTCAAATTACAAAGAAATAAATCAATTGGTTGTACCTTCATTCAAAATATTAATGTTTTGATCCGGAAAATGTTGAGTCAGTACGCCTCGGTATTGGGCCAATCGTAATATAATATGTTTTTTTTTATGTATTTCGGCAAAAAATATTTCTGATTTTTTGGGATAAAGATAATTGAAATCAATTTCCAGCTAAAAAAATATACCACCTATAAAAATGTGAACTTACATAATATACTGTTATATTACTTACTAATTGATAACCTAAGGACTTTTCTAAAATTTTATATTCTTGAAAATATTCTTGGATGGTTGTGGTTGTATTCTGGTTATAGCGGGGAATTCTTACACATGTAGTGGCCTTCCATTTAGCCAAAACTTCTGGCCAAGGTTCTGTATTATACCTTAACCAACAACAAAAGTCTTCCACGTCATCCTCGTAATCTTGACTACCTATAAAAAAAAAGCGTAGGAATTATATCTTCAAAAATTAATTACATACGTACTCGCTATTTCTACAGTTTCATGAACTTCAAGGCTTGATGATGGACACGCAGTGGTGAGAACGCCAGATTTTTTCAACTTCTTTCTTTGATTATGGTAACGATCAACTAATTTACCCCTCATACATTGGACAGTTTTTTTGTTTTGTCTAACATACGGTATATAGTATGTGGAAATATCTTCGTTCGGGAATTCTTGCTTTATGAGGCGGGCTAATTGTAAAAGTCTTCTGGTCGGAATACTAAAATAGCAATTTTTTACAAAAATGTATGTTCGATTTTCAGTTCTTTCGTTAAAACATACTAGGAATTAATGTCTTGTAGTAAATCGTGATCGATTAATAATGCAACGAGATCATCTCTTAATTGCGGTGTTAAATGGTTTTTCTGGGCCAATATATTACGACCTTTCATAGAATTTTGCAAAAATTTTTTCAAATCCTACAAAGCAATGACATCTTACAAAAAAATATATGTGTTTATTTACAAGCTCGTATGTCACTTCCAGATTTGGAAGTTTTTCCAAAAACGAATCACACCGTTTATACGGTACCGGTACAATATCTAAAAAAACACCATTCAAACATAAAACTTCACTCTTAATAAAATAACAGTAAGTCACTAAGCACCTGGTCCTTGATATTTCATTAAACAACAAAAAATCATCAAAGAATAGAGTAGGTGATTTTACTACGTTGGGCATGCTGATTCTAAATCTGCAATTAGTTTTTTTTTTTTTGTATACGTCACATTATAGAGATGATCGACATAACTGATGAATGACTAATTGAATTTTATGTTTCTGCGAATATGATCAAACGTGTATATTCATCTCCGATGATTATAAAACATTTTTATGTACCATTGCATTGTTAAAAAATATCAAGTAAAGTGGAATTACGGGACAACGTCGCATTGGAATTTACGGTTCTAAACCTGAGGAAGAAGCCACTGAGAATATATAAAAATATAAGTAAGGTGCTCCATTAAAAAAGCTAAGCTATGTAGTATGTCTCAGACACAGAACATTCTGTGTAGTTAAAAATAATTTAATGCTACTCAAAGACCCGGACAACTTTTCTGTTTTCAATAATAATTGAGTTATCGCTTAGTGACTCACCCCTGTATATATATGTCATTACCAAATATCATACAGTACCTAAAGGTAAATTATCATCCACTCTATAAACTGTAGAGCACGTGCCTTTACTAGTGCTGGGAATGGGTTCTTGTGTCTCTTTGTAAACTAAAATTATATACATAAAAACATGTTTTCACTTAAAACCATACATTACCTGAAGTATCACTAGGAGCATCATTTGTCTTAACTACTATTGTTTCTAAGCAGTTATTATCTGTTATTACATTTTCTTCGTCAATTCTATTGTACAACTGTCTAAAACCTTCTTTAAATTTAATTCTGTCCCCATACTTTGCAATCAGTTCTTTGAAATCTTGTGAATCTGTGTTAATTTTTGAGAATGTATCATCATCTATCGCTTCTTCTGAAAAATAATATTACAACATTTAAAAGTGATGTTAATAAAATTTACAGTTATTTATTCGTTGTTACAGTTATGGAAACGAACAATTTATATTGTACATACTTATGTATGCATTTTGGCAAACCACATTTTAAATTACTTTTAAAAGGAAAAGATACTACACGATTTTGCTTTAATTCTCCAAAATTTAAAAGAAAAAGGTTGGTGAAGATCACAAAAAAATACAGTGTTAGTATCAAAAGTGTGTGGCTATGTAAGGTACCTAAGCCAAATATTGCCATCTTAAGGTTTAAAATTTGTTGGCAAATTAAATTTTGAAACCTGAAAGCTATATATAAACGATTGTTACGTGAATACGAGTTGCCCATTATAAAGAAAACTTAAAGCCGTATATGATTCAATTGTTTAGAATTTAGGCGATTTTTAGGCCTGACAATATAAGGAATATGGCAATATATGGCTCAGACACCGTATAATACCGTTAAAAAAACTAAGACCAAATTTGATTTTATAACTTTTTCAGAAATCAGTCCGTTTCTGCCAGGAATGTATCAAATGTATCATAAAACATTATTATGGGTTTTACCTAGTACGAATTGAACTGAATAAAAGATTAATCAGAAATTTTTTGGCCATAGCACACTTCAGTGTATGAGTATTTGGAAAAAGATTCCATTTTAACACCATATTTGAATTTTATTACAATTTAGCAATTTTAATTTGAATGGTACCCTGTACCATCAACGTACTCATCAAATAATTATGTAGAGTGCGTTCGTAGAGGAACGTCCTCAGTTGACACTGTTTTTCTCAACCCCTGACCCCGTTGTGCATAACTAACCCATGACGAGAAAAATATCCCAGCATAGATTTTTATTAATCGCACACACTATGATGTTACTTGCATCACGTTACACAATTTGTTTAATTTACAACGGAACAAAGTATTTAACATTAAGATTGTATTATATTAAATGGCATATTTTTAAAGTAATGTTTAAAATAACATATTTTTATGGAAAAATGAACTAGTTCAAACATACCTTATCCTTGTATGACTTAAAACAAATGAACACGAAACCGATCGTTGCATCAAGTCTTGATTGCTTACATTGCAACTATTATACTAAATGAAGCACGTATATTTAGCTACTTACCTTGAAATTTAGCAATGAGATGGGACAAACTCCATGCTTGTAAATATTTTTTTACATTTTCCATTGTCACAACACCACAAAATCAATTATCAGTATCACAAAACACCAACTAGGTAAACTGTAATTTTTTCATTCTTGGGATAACGAATCAAAACACAAAGACGACTGCGGACGACCACAAATGTGCTGACAATTGTCTGGCACTAAGTGGGAAATTATGCCATTGGTCGAATCGATAGGCGGTTAAATTAAATTTAACTATAATTGTGGTTTGTTCAACAAAAGGTTATAGTATGGCAGATTACTTTCAAACATTATGGTTGTTACAACCATTTAATAAGAGTTATGTCGAAAGAGTACTACACATATAGTTATTGATACTATATGGTTCATAACCAAAATTGTATGATTGTTACAACTATTTACTTTTTTTCACCTATAATGTAGCCAACAATAAATAGGGATATAACAACCAAATTCATTTTAACAATCAGGTATGGTTGCAACATTTTTTAGTGTGCATGCTTCCGATAAACTTCAAACGTTTGCAAGGTTTCAGAGCACTCCGTTTTGCAATTTCAAAGTTAATTTGTATAAAATGTTGTTATAGAATTTTGATTTTTTTTTAACTCTGGATGCCTACTGCCTAGAGTAAAAACTCATACGAGTTCAAAAACTACAAGTGGATGAGTATGTTATTTTAAAAAATTGAATTAACCTTTACTATTCTAAAAGAGATGACATCATGCATTGATGATGGGGATAATCAGACGAATTTTGGTCAGCATTTTGTCATCTACACAATATTCCTAATAACATTTAAAATTTCGCAACAATCGATCCGTTAGTTTAGAATATTATCTGTCTAATAAAAATCAACACAGACGCCAGACGTCAGACGGCGGACACACAGACGGAAACGAGAGACCTATGCTTTCGTACTCTGGATGTCATGAAACGTTGAGAAAACATAAAAGTATCAGTCGCCCGATGGACTCGAATACAATACTTCCTTAGCTTACGCTCGGGAAGTAAAATGCACGATGACGCAAATCAATGCCGCAAAGTGCTGAGTTGCGTTAACGCAAGTGACCAATTTGAAATTGACCCCTTAGCCAACAATTAGATCTACTCGTATCATTATGGAACGATACAATTAATTTTAAAAAAGAACTTGAAAAGATTTTTCTATTATGTTCAGCTTTACCATCAAACTCTACCGAGAGACTTTCAACCTCACAATATTGTAACGAAAACTTGGTGTTTCATCCTGGTACTCCTGGTGGTTATGATAACTTTCAAAAAATAATAGGTGTTGATCTACAACAAACCCCCATGTATTTGTTGAGACGCCCTTCCATACAGTTAAACTTGGTCTTGGGGTGATGGCTATTCGAAGGAGAAACGCATTAAACCTACCCATTCATTTTGTTGAAAACATAAATGCTACTTCTATGTTAATGAAATTCTTATACCGTTTGTGGAAAACTCTGAGGAGGAAAAGCTACAATATGGATTTTGCCAACAGGATAACGCTACTGCTCATACATTAAATCAGACCTAAAACTTTCTAAACTAACTGATGTCTGTGCCTCTGTTGCGTCGGATCATCTCCCAAACGGATGAACCGATTTTAATGCAGTTATTTTTCTTGTTTGAAAACTGGTTTTATCGGAAAGGTTCTTACAAGAAGGGTTTAATGAACAACTTGGTTCGTATAATCTTGGAAAGCGAAAGAAAAGAATAACTGCATATAAAAGAAATTTGAAAATCGCGAACGTTCAATTAACTATTATTCATGTAACCGCTCGACCTTGATGTACGGCGGTACGTCTGTAGATCAAATCCCCGGATCCGATCACTGCTCCAGATTTAAAAACAAGTTCGGACTTTTTTCGTTTTTTCGTACCCCTCTCAAGAAAAAAATACCACAAACCTTATAGCAGTTGGAAATGTTTCTGAAAACATGAAACGACGCGTCCACTTATGACTGGAAAACGTTGGACGGTATTTTCATTTCATCACGTTATAAATAAACGTTTCTTTTATTGTTAATTTTGTGTCATTTCTTTTACGTCTTAAGAATAGTTCACATATTTGATTTTAGACTTTACAACTGTCTACTTGACATTTAATAAATAATAATTATATTAAACTACGACAAGCAGTTCTTCGTACCTGATGGTCAACTTCCATTAATAAATATTTGTTTTCGATCTCGCGATATTACAGATCCTACACTTATGTCCCTGGGTGGGACTGCTGAAACCACCTATAAAATTCGTTTGTTAGTGAGCACGTAATTATTTCTCTGAAAATATGAAACACAAAGGTTCCTATACCCTATCGCGAATCTATGTCGATTTGACCTTCCTGTAAATAGCACACTCTGTCGGTCGATACTACGGACAGACCACACACGCGCTTAGTATCCTAGCAACGATATGCGACCCACTTTGTTATTGGCTACCAGCTCCCGTCCAATCAAACCTCAGCCACTTCATTCATTCATTGATTGTCATTGCTCAGCTGTTTTTAATTTGATGGCATAGTAATATGAGGGGCCTGACTTATCACACACTTGAATTTACAATATGATTGAAACTGTCGGCTCGGTAGGAAAACACTTCGCACGTTATACGCACGAAAATCGCCTTCACCACAACGTAACAGGTTTGTGTAATAACTGAAATATTTTGGGTGAATTTGTGGATTTCATACGTAATCT